CCTGCTGACATATTCTCTATGTTCTTACCTTCACCATCAAAATCCTAACTAATTTAGAAACAATGGTCCAGGCAGTCAGCAGCTTCTAATAACCCAAATTGTTATTTTATGATAAGTTCACTGGTCCAACCTCTTTTCTTACCAAATGGATGCCTGCAATTACAGCACATGCAATAGCTAACTGAGGAATGCTAGCCAGGAAGTCTTATTACAATTTACTGTAAGTGCATCAGAAGACACAAAATACTGAGTTTCCAAATCTATAGTCTTTATGTGCTGAACTAGGAGTTAAGTCAACAGGACTCTAATGGGCATAACAACTAGATGGACTAGTAACTAGAGTGCTAGCGGGGCTGTGAAAAACCTGGGTCCAGTACATGCTATATGGCAACACTATATGGGGTGTTAGTTAAGTCACAAAAGTTTTCATTTGCTTTGAATCTTTCTGTGTAACATGGGGATACTAATACTTTTTTACTATGTGTGGGGGGCAGAGGGTGATGACATAAATATATTAAAAAGACTGTGATGCACTTTGATGCAGTGATGATGGGGCTATAGAATGGAAGGATCCAAAATGGGAATACCATTATCTTTTTTCCCTCACTGAGGTCTCCCTAGGGGTTTTTTTTAATGCATTTCTAGTTCCTAGTTTCAGGTTATGGCCTTATGGTTCGAGCAAAGGGGAAGACGTCAAACTTGTGTTGGGAGGAAAGAAAAACAGACCATCAGTATAAACTGAAGGTGGCGCTGACTGACGATGACAGCCAAAGGAGAACTGCGCCAAGGAAAGCCAAAAGACAAAGTTATAATGTGAAAAGGCATAAAGCTGTCAGTGCAATACAAAATATCAAGTAAAGAAACAGGGTAATCTGAACAGTTTTTAAAATAGCTTTCACTTGAACAGAATTACAGTGCAACTGTTCAGGCATGATGGGAGCTCAGGACAGGAAGTCTTAGTTCTAATTCCAGTTTTGACACCAACTCACTTAATATGATTCAGTTACTTAGGGCAGATCTAGGGTATTTTTACATGTGTTCCCATTGTGGCGCCAGGCACTTTTAATTAGCGAGCCATGCTAATTAAAAGTGCCCAGCGCTGTGTCGGAAACACGTGTATCAGTGGCACAGAGTGCCTCCATGCTGAGAAAATGGTGGAGGCGCTCTTTGAACTAAAGAACATTGAATGTGTTTTAGTTCAAAGCACATCACTGTCATTTTCTCAGCGTGGAGGCGCGTTGCACTGCTGATACACATGACATGTGAGGCTGCCAGAGCACGTTTATTTACATGCTTCCTGCATGTATGTAAGTGCCCTATGTTACTATGTTTTGCTGATGTAGTTGTTAGGCATTTGAAAAAAAAATCACCCCTAAAAATGCAGAGATATGCCAGAACATACTATTATATGGACATAACTTATAGTGGCCAGCCTTTTTTAATTCCACCCCTCTCACTGATATATGCTGCATCTGCAGGGGGCTTCACAGGTATGCAACTGCATGTAGAGCTATACTAGTAACACCTCTGTAATGTACTGCAGCCTTGCACCCCCAATCACCTAAACCCACATCATTTTACATATTACTATTGGAATCAAAGGACTACTTGTACAAGTTGCGCGCGCGCGCACACACACACACACACACACACACACACACACACACACACACGAAATCTGCAGTGCTGTATCCTGTTTCTCCTGTGTTTAAAAAAGAAAAAAAAAGTACCTGTCTGATGAAAAGATAAACATTTAGAAGGCACTTTTGAAGCCAAAGAGCTATAAAACATGCTCAGTATCTTTTAGAAGTTTTGAAACAGCTGCATAGCTGAGCAAAAACCAAAGAAGCATTTAATAGAAAGGTTTCTTTAGTTGTGTGCCTTCCATTCCTGTGAATCATGATCTTTTACACAGGAACAAAACAAGCCCTTACCAATTACCACTAACACAGGTGTTAATAAAATGCACACATGCATTTATCTTCTTAGTTCAGCTGCATATTTGAAATTCATAAGCAAATTATGAGGAGGATTTATATTATACAACATTAAAAAAAAGGCAGGAAAGTTCAAAATGGACTACAGTGTTATTGTTTCAATAGTGGTAGACATTATACCTCTAACTTCTTAGGGATTTCCACATTCTACTTAATTTTTTTAACACTGAAACTGAGAGAACATAACCCTTCAATCAAAATTCTTGCACATTTCAGGGTGAATGGTAAGTTGATACTACAGTGATAGGGACAGAGTGACTCCAGTTCTCTCATATTAATGCACAGCTAGTAGACTGAGCTCTTTTGAGTTTATTTAGAATTGCCATGAAACCAACCAGATTATAAAACTTTGAAAAACATCTGCAGAAATATTTTTTAGCTTTTGTTTCCAAAGTGTGACACAAAAATACTGCCAGTCAGTTTCTTCACTGGTTTCAAAAGAATTATGACATTCTAGGGATTTTCAAAGGACCCTAAAAGTTAAATGACAGTGGGAGAAAGATAACTATTTTAGGTTCCTTTGAATATCTGAAACATTCTTGCACATTATCAAAATATAATCAGATAGACACAATGTTAGTACTGCTACAGACAGATGTCATAATGAATTCTTCTTGCCAAGAGTCCATATAAACTGCTCAGCTGAATTTTTGCAGGCACTTGCCATTTTCCATGTTAACACTATTAGTTACTTTAAAATATTCTGAACAAGGTAATTTTATTGACAAACTTAATGTTACCTCCATCTGCCTCTTTTCTGCAGCTTCTGCAAGTTGTCTTCTTTTAATTTCCTAAAGAAAATCAAAAGGCAAACTACTACTTAAAGGTGTTAGACAAAACAGTTATGTATACAGAAAAACCTGAATGTCATTTAAAATTTCAATTACTTTTACAGAGAATCTAAAAATATTATGCGTGCTCCTGCATGGCTATTCTTAATAAAGGAAAATTGACTGATCAAGTACTAAGCTTAACTCAAACAGATGCCTTCTCTCCATTACAAGTAGATAAGGGTATCAGAGAACTGCATAAGGACAATCTGCTTTTAGTTACAAACATGGTAGAAAGTAGCGGCCACTATGAAACTGTCCAGTATTTGTGTGCCAACTGATAGTTGTGCAGGTATATCCGTTACACATCTGTATTTCAACTGACTTCATATATATGGCAGAGGATATAGGAGAAAGTCTGTAAAATGTTTTTGTCATTGAAAACAGAAATAGGAGGTCTTTATATAAAACTGTGGTTCCCCTGAGAGCCCCACGAAAATGAGGCATGTATCTCATGAGGATATTTGCCGCACAAATATTTTGAACAACAAACCTTGAGGAATCTCTCATAGTGAAAACTCATTCCTATTTTGCTTATAAAATAGCTGACGCCAAAACTGCTACCAGCACATGAACACAATTCTGCTATATATGCATGTTCACAAGAAACTGGCTCTGTTATACCCCCTTATTAGAAAAGTTCATTTTTATGATGTTCCCTAACACAGACATCTTCTTCTCCCTGAAAGTACCACTGACTTAGAAGTATCTGGCCTTCCACACAGATGCAGAGGCCCATCCTCAGGAACTGTGCTGGAAGATTAGCACCTATGATATTAGCAACCAAGACTCATTACTGTTTGATGGATCTCTGATGACTCATGTGAAATGACTTAATTTCAGTAAGGCTTCTATGTAGCAGGTGTCTCACAAAGCGACCGAAAAATAGACACAAATACCCTCTCCTTGAAAAGTCATCCCTCCAAAATGTTCATCCTGCAGTAGGTACTTTTGAGCAGATCAGATCTACTCCACTGGTTTTGTTCTGTTTGATTTATGGTGTGAGGCTGCAATCATACAATAAATGAAAGAAAAGTATGGAGCAAAGGACCATAGCACATTTGCCAACAGTTTAAAATAATAGTAACAGCTTTCTAAGCTTTAACAACAAATATTTAAAGGGAGGTTCCCTTAAACTGACCAATTTAAGAAAATCTATTTAATGGTAAAGTACATGTATAAATGGATTTTTTTCTTAAATATCTATTTTTCAGTTAGGAAACATTTTAGTTTTTTCAACCTCCAGGTTTTTTATCATCTCCCCATCAAGAATCATAGATGTTGATGGCAAAAACATATGAAAGGTTTGTAGCATGAGCTCAAGTGACTGACACACGTCCCATGAAACTTAAGATGAAATTGGGGGGGCTGGAGGGAGGGAGGGAAGAGAGGAGGGAGCAAGATGTACTTTCCCACCAACTATTTTTAAGTGGAATAACAACTAACAGCAGTTATCAACCTTTTTGGACTCAAGCCATCCTTGGAGGACCCTTCCAATCTTACTTCTATACAACACCCTCTACACATTACAGGTATTGCACAATTAAATGGTTAATTACACAATTACTTAAGGCCAACTACACATGTAAAGTATTAATTACACAGTAAAAAGTTCCAACCAGTTATAAAGTTAGATCTTGAAAATGCGTACTAACTTTATAGCTGGTTGCTACTGAACTTTTATTTGCACTTGTAGCAGGGTCTCTCTTCCTTGTGGCTGGGAGCCCCATCAGCTGACAGGACTCCTGACCGCAGAAGTGCACCATACCTAGTATATGTATATACCTACACCCCAGGGTCCTGGGGGATCACGACAGCCGTGAACCCTAGGGCCTGGGAGTTTCACACACCCCTGAGCCCTAGGAATTGTGGCAGGGATTCACACACCCTTATGCCTTGAAGACTGCAGCTGCTGTGATCCCCCATGGCTGGAAGCCCCCCAACTAAGGGGACACCCAGCAGCAAAAGGTTGCCTTCAGCAATAAGGCGCGATGGGATTTAATGTACGATCCCCTAATCGTGCCTGCTGCCATGCACGTGCAGCATGACAAGAGGTGCGCTTGTGTGTATCATGCCTTAGATCCCATCGTATTTTTACCTGCGTGTGTGGAGGGGGCCTATGACATCTCTATGACTCTGCAACTTATGTGAACTGCGGCTTCTTACAGACATGAAAAAAAATAAAATGAGCACATTAAGGTTGGTACACCCCTGCACCAAGCACAGCTCATGCCCAGAAGAGGCATTTCATTAGTTTGACCTGGCTCACCCAACATCTGTATAGATCAGGAGCTCCAGTGGGGCTTTTTGGTGCTTTTAGTGAATAGCTGATTGAACCAGCTTTAGATAAAAATGCCAAAAAACCTTGCTGATACGCCTGATCTATACAGAGGCTGGGCAGCCAGGACAAACTAATGTGCTTCCTCTTCTGGTAAAGCGCTATTTTTTTCATGTCTGTCAGCAACCCTAATGGCACGCCATTTCACAAACCAGTTCATTGCTTACCATGTTTGCCTCCTTGCAGAGGGGACTGGCAGAGGGGATGGGGGCTCACCCCACTTGGGATAATCCTGCACCTGTGCTCCTCTGCTTAATTCATCTGCTTTCTAGGGAAGATGTTTCATGTCAAGGATCCCATGTTGGCGGGGGCAGTAGGAATCAAAAGCTAGAGAGTGGTGGACTCTCCATCCCTGGAGGTTTTTAAGACTGGGCTGGACAAAGTCTCAGCTGGGATGATCTAGTTGGGGATGGTCCTGCTTTGAGCAGGAGGTTGGACTAGATGGACCTCCAGAGGTCCATCCCAACCCTAATTTTCTGTGACTTGTTGCAGCTGATTCCCTCTTACCTGGGTCTGTGAACAGAGTCTCAGAGCCCTCCTTGTCTTTCTTTTTCCACACCCGTCCCCCCACTAGCTTTTGATTCCTAGTGCCCCTGCCAACATGGGTCCTTGACATGAACCCCCCCCCCCAGAAAGACAGACCTCCAGTCATTCGCAACCCAAGTGTCTCCCCAGGGTGTCAGCAGATCTTTATTTTTTTTGGAAGGGCGGCAGGAGCGGGGAGATCAGGGGGGTGGTTAAGGGGAGAAGCAGATGAATTCAGCACAGGAGCACAGGTGCGGGCTTGTTTTTAAGACCCAGCTGGACAAAGCTTGGCTGGGATGATCCAGTTGGGGCTGGTCCTGCTCTGAGCAGGGGGTTAGACTAGATGAGTCCCCCCGAGGTCCCTTCCCACCCTCGTTTTGGATGAATATCTCTAACCTCAGCTCCCCTGGCTACCACTGGAGACACTGCTCCTCGCCCTGTCACCTGCCACCAGGGAGACAGCCTGCGCAGCCCCATCTGTGCAGCCACCCTTCAGGCAGGGGCAGGCTACTACCAAGTCCCCGCTTCTCTCAGTCGGGCTGAAACCAAGCGCCGTCCCCTCAGCCTCCCCTGCAAGGCCACGTGTTGGGTCACAGCCTTCAGCTTCCCAGCGCGGAATGACCCCCTGGACCCCCACACGGAGGTGAGGCGCGCGGGGGTCCCCGCCGCTGAGGGGTGGGGGGGTCCCGCCGGGCCGGGCCTGATGAGCCGGGAAAGATCACCTGACATTGGGGGGGGGGGCACGAAATAATAAGCCACA